TTAGTAACCTGCGTTAAAATTCCACTGCTTAAAAATTTCTTTGCTTAAAAACGCCTTTGCTTAAAAATTTCTCCACTGCTTAAAAATTTCATTGGCTTAATTATATTTTACAGACGACGCGTGTCCTATAGGAGTTTTGGAATTTATTGCTTTCACCTTTTGACGCAAAAATTTAAAAACCTCTACTTTAAAGCATTCGTTTCAACCAATGGAAAAAAGTAAACCAGTAAAAGAAAGTAAAAATTTCAGAAATAATTTTTGAAACTAATTAGAAGTACTTTATTTACGTCGCACTAAAGCTGCATAATGAGCTATTGGCGTCATTTGTAAAACTGAAATGGGACCTAAATTTAAAACAAAATCAGTAACTTTGACAAAAAATTTTCATCCATTTAAAAAACTTTTCAACTATTTTCAAGTCACAATATATTCTAATAAATAACTGTCACAAAAATGAATTTATAAGCAAATCAATACATTCTTATTGGTTTGGCTAAAATATTGGGATTTACAATTATACTAAATCGTAACATTTAAATTATTCTTTGGAGCTTTATCATGCCGTTAAAATTGTTCATATTAGATAAACAACTAAGAAAAACCCTCGAAGTTCATGTACTAATAAAAAAAAGGGAAATAATGCTAATCTTTTTTTTTATATTCTATGCAATAAAAACTATATCAATAAAAAAAAGGAAATAAAAAAATACGTTGAAGGTCATTTCATCTCGTTTCGTCTCGCAACATTGCACTTAACTTCTTGCTTAACAATCATTCTCCGTCGCCAACATTTTTCTCTGATTTTTATATCTCAGCTTATTTATCACAATATTTTACATTTCATTAATTAATTGTTTTAGTCATTTATTTAGTATTATATAATTAGTTTTATATAGGGATTATAAAGATGTATTATTATAGAGGGGAAACACGGTAAGTTTGACCCATCCTAACTGTTTCCTATTAACTAGGAGACTCTACTCTCCAACCCCCGTGATTGCTTCTCCTTCATGGTTTTTTTACCTTTAAAAATTGATTTTAAAAAAAAAAAATTATTTTGTTTATAAAATACATCAATGCTACTGTTTTATGCAAGAACATTTTGATTAAATGTTAATCGTAATGAAGTGAACTATTACCTGGATTTGAAAAATTATCAACTGTACTTAAAAAAATATTTAAACTTAGAAATACAACAATAAGAAGTAATAAATGAGATATATTTTTATTAATTAGCATTATGTAACCTTATAAAATATAAAAATTCAAATTAGAAATGGTTTTCACCTCTCTTGAAATAAAAATAATAAAATGTTAAATGAATTTAAAATTTAACAGCGCAATAAATTTTTACATGAATGTTAAATGTTAGTTGGCAATATATAACCACTCACACCCTTACTTTTTTCTTAATCTATATGTTACCGGCAAAGTATGAAACGCTGGCATTGTATAGAATTCCCAGCCATTGTATAGAATGCCGGATGCTATTTAGGCAAAGTATGAAATAAACGTCCTGATGAGGTTATTATGTAAATGATGTGCATGTTACTGTGAATAACCGAAATCGGTGGTTGTTGACTTTCACCGGTGAATGTTGACAATCACATAGTCACTTTGGAGAATGTCCGAAACATTGATCACATCAGATTTGATATTAATTTATTCGTGGATATAATTGCATTTATTCGATATTTTAATAGTTACAAACGATAGATTAGAAGAAACATCAGTGTTTGGAGTATCGGGCAAATATATACCGGGCAATGGCACCTGATCTTTAAAAAACATCAGTGTAAGGTATACCGGGCAAATGTATACCGGGCAATGGCACTTGACCTTATTAAAACATTAGTGCAGGGTATACCAGGCAAATGTATACCAGGCAGTGGAACTGAACCTTAAAAAACATCAGTGTAGGATATACCGGGCAAATATATACCGGGCAATAGCACTTGACCTTAAAAAATATCAGTGCAGGGTATACCGGGCAGTGGCACTGAAATTTAAAAAACATCAGTGTAGGATATACCGGGCAAATCTATACCGGGCAGTGGCACTTAACTAGACCTAGTATGACTAGACCTTTGGTAAATGTCCGAAATATATACTAGGTCTAGTTAAGTGAAACTGCCCGGTATACATTTGCCCGGTAAACCCTACACCGTTGTTTCTTTAAGGTCAAACGCCATCGCCCGGTATACCCTACACTGCTGTTTTTTTAAGGTCAAGTGTCATTGCCCGGTATATATTTGCCCTATACTCCAAACACTGATGTTTCTTCTAATCTATCATCAGTAAGTATTAAAATATCGAATAAATGTAATTATATCCACGAATAAATTAATATCAAATCGGATGTAATCAATATATCGGACATTCACCAAAGCGACTATGTGATTGTCAACATTCACCGGTGAAAGTCAACAACCACCGATTTCGGTCATTCACAGTAACATGCACATCATTTGCATAATAACTTCATCAGGACGTTTATTTCATACTTCGCCTAAATAGCATCCGGCATTCTACAGAATGCCTAGGCAATGTGTGAAATATAAATCATTTCATACTTTGCCGGCAAATTTTAGACATTCTATACAATGCCGGATACATATACATTTTCTTTTTTACTTTTTAAATGAAGTCAAGCGCTCGAGATAAATAAAATTTTCTATAACAATGTATAATTAATTATTATTTAAAGCATCAAAATTGGAAAAAAGCCGGGAAAAACACTTAAAATTGCAATTGCCTTCGAACAAATTGCAATTTTGAAATGAAACGCGCATAATGTTCATAAATGAAAATGGCCCTTTCAGCACATCAAATTTCAACTCTGTAGTTGTATTTCTGAGGCCTGCGAGAGGGGCCCACATGGTATTTTTTGCAACAAGTTTAACAGTCAATACTTACCAATACTTATACTTTCAAACTACAGTCATCGTTCCAGCGTAATCCCTGTGCATTTTTCTACACACCTTCAACATACCTTCGTAATTTCGAGTTTTTTAGGTCTCAAATTTTCTGCCCAATAAAACAAAATGTAACACAGAGGTGTACAGTGCGCTAACTAAAAAACGGACCACTCTGAATAACTTTAGATCTGATGATCGAATCTTCACATTCTAGGACTCAATCTACATTCTACTACAATCTACAATCCACATTCTGGGACTCAATTAGTGGTGACTTCAAATATGCTAATTAGTTAGAGTAGACGGTATTTTAAGTTACAAGATCAGACACAAAAGCACTTTCCTCTATACAAACATACTTTTTTTTGACGGATTCGGATTTCTGAGCCCAAAATATAGGGGGTATATCTATATCAAAAGTCATCAAAATATATCTGGGTAATATGGTTCCAATAGTTTGAGCAGGAGAGCTGTCTAAAATTTGGACCCATTAATGTTCATTTTTCTTTTTGCGTATTTTGCCATATCTCGGAAACTTTTTAAGCGAATTGAAAAACTTTTTACATCCAATAATAAAATTTTTCTAAATTTTCATTTATCTAAAAACAATTCCATGCAAAAATAAATTTTAGTACATATTTAAGATTTTTTTTAATTTTATTTAATATTAATTATTTTACGTCATTTTAAAGAATATAATTTTACATGGTAAAAAATTCAAATATTGAGTAAAATCTGACAAATAGTTCCTGAGAAATCAAATTTTTGAAATAAGACTTTTTTAGACTGACTGAGTTTTGACTGGCTACTGGCTTTTTTTTTTTTACTTTTTTTTTATGTAAAAAATTTTATACTTTACAATTCGCAATTTTTCGATTACGTTAATAAATAATACAATAATAAAAAATCATAAATATTTACAGAAATTTATTTTTTGCTGGGAATTATTTTTGGATAAAGGAATTTTATAATTATGTGGGAAATTTTTCAATTTGCTTAAAAAGTTCTTGACATGCTGCTAAATACGCAAAATTTAACTTAAAATTAAGAGTACCTAACATTGGACAGTTCTCCTGATCAAACTATTAAAACCATTTTCTCCTAATTACGGCTACCCCTTATATTTTCAAGGTCGGAAATCCGAATCCGTGACAAAAAAAATTTATGTTTATTCAGGGAAAGTACGTTTTTCTGTCTGATTTCGTAACTTAAAATATCGTCTTCACTAATTAATTAGCATATTTGAAGTTATCCCCTCGAACCATTAAGATCGAGTCCTAGAACGTAAAAATCCAATCATTAGATTAAAAGTTATTCGGGATGGCCCGTTTATTTTATTTGCACAATGTACATTTGGGGCATCTATCTACTGTTGGTACCCAACATCTCATTTTCTACTTATCCGTTATAAGGACCATGCGTTTGTTACCCCCAAAAGCAGTAACACCCATAACAAATGAGTACAAATTTTAATATCGTGATGTACATCATTTTGAGAATACGTATTCTCAAAATTATATCGCGATATTTTCTCAATTTAATTTCGACTTTGGTATTAATATTTTTGTTATCCAAATCAAATTTAGCAACATTCACGATAATATCATATTTAATAATTATCGCTTTTAATATTCACGATATTGTCCTATTCGTTGCATAGACTTATAATCGCTGCATAGACTTATATTATTAGTCTATGATTCGTTGCACCTACATCGATAGTCGGTGGCCTTTGTAAATCAGAACACTGTTGGTGAACTTGAATTTTCTTGGTTTTTTTCAATATTTTCTTCACTACATATTATCCATAACTTAAACCATTTATAAGAATTTTTTTTAAAACTTAAATGTTAAGATAAATTACTGAGAAGGTTAAATTAATGCATTCGCATCATCCCAAGGAACTTATAAACCCCAATTAAGGAACTCCCATCTTGCAATAATAAAAATAACCACCGTCAAGAATAAAGTGAATTGATTAAATTATAAAGACCTCTCTTACACTTTTAGACTTTTCCACAAGATGTCGCCCTCAATCATGAATTTACTGAGAACTCTTGGCTCCAAATAATGGATTCAACGGTTTACAGTTTGACAGTTAAAAGTGAATCACAAATTTCTCAGTATTTCTGACTCACCTTTGTTTGTAAATATATCTTTTCTTAATTCATTAGGTTACCATGGTATGCGGTGTATAAGTTGTATATAAATAAATTATTCTCCGATAACATGATTTGCCTGTATATCCCAGTTATTATAATTTAATGATTCATCTTTGTCATTTTTAACTTTGCAATATTATTTTGAAATCATAAATTTTGAACTTGCACTGAAAATGCAAGTATGGCAGTTCAAGAGCAATTTTTACCTACACGTAAAGCGTTTTCAGCTGAACGGTCTAAAGATATCTATGAATCTCAATCTTCCGATAGTGGTCTTGAGGAAATTGGAAATAGAACTTTTAAAGTTTGTTCGTCTGCTTCAATGTCCGCAAGAGAAAGGAGACATGCCCAGAAAAATTTTGAATATTCTATGCAAGAGGAATTTAGTCCTCGGTTTCACAAAGTACACAATAAAGAAAATCAAAAACTTTTCTTACAAGCTTCACAAATCTTAGAGAAACTTAATAAACTGTCTTCAAATGTTGAATCACAGAAAAGTGCCTTAGCAATAAGAAATACAAAAATGAAAACAATTGCTATTTATCATGATAAACTCCAACAGTTACTGATAGAAAGAAGTTCTTTGTTGTTAATGGAAGAAAGCTTTACCGCAATAAAACGGACTACAAAATGTATTGAAGATTTTAAGCATATTTATTACAGTGAGAAATTGAAAATGACAACCATGCCAATGCAAGCGTTTAATCGCTTCATTAGCAGCTCTGACATTAATATTTCATCGATTGAACTTTTAATCAAAAAACTAAATAATGTCTGTGACATGCATTCATCTCTGACTAACAATTACCAAAATCTAATCAACCTCTTTCATGGTGGGGCAAACATTGATCTTAATAAAACAATATCAAAGTCCTGTAACGTTTTAAACTCATTAGAGACTGATGTGTTTTATTGGTCTCATAAATATATGGGAGTTTTTATGCAAAAAGTCTGTTTAGCTGATCCTAATTCTGTATCACAGGATTTTTTACTGAAAATTTTGAGGGCTACTCATGTTTATAATTCACTTCTAAAAAAAGCTAAAAATTCTCAGTGTAAGCTTTTAACAACTGACTATATCTTCTGTAAATTTATCTTGTCACAAAAGGAAAATATTGTATCATTTAATCTTATTTTGCAAAATCTGTCTTTTTTTGAAGCCAAAGTTGCTGCTGAGAGAATTGTAAATAATTTAAGCTCTAATTGTAAAAAACATAAACAGACGGATTTAAAGAGAAATCAGATGCATGAAATCCAAGAAAATGAAACATCTGAATTTTCCCCCAACAAAAATCATGATTGTTTAGAACAGTCGAAAATGAAAAATACTTCTCCATCTCACACAAGTAATTTTGCAACCATGCTACTTGCTATTATACAAAGAAATCAGTCATTAATATTAAAATATATGTATTCCATTACTAGTTTAGAAGGGTTGACTGTTTCAAGAAGGAGAACATTTGATAGTTTAACACCAACTTCATCAGGTAAGTTATATCATTTTTGAAATAACTAACTGCCTAAGATTCAGTTAAAGAAGTCAATATAATTTTTTTATGTTTAATTTATGTATATAAAATATGCATAATAATGCAGATATATTCTTTTATTAAATTAAACGTCGGAAATTTATTGTTCAAAAACTTTATGCAGTATTTAAATCTTTTTTTCAGTTTTATTTCATTTTTTTTAACTCATTTTATAAAGGAGTCATGAATGCATTTTTAAATTATTTTAGTTGTATTATTCGTTTAATTTATGTGGAAGAATGTTATAAAAAATAACTATTTTTAGATTTCTTGTACATAACTTTTAAAATCTGAATCTCTGAGTTGATTTTAGAACATATTTCATTCAGTATTAACTGTACTAAAAACAAAAACAATAGATTAAATGTGAGCCTGATTACATTCTTAAATAACATTACATTTTTTAGTACTTGCATATTATCCTGCCAACCATTTTCGCCAAATCTGAAAGTAAACTTGAAAATAGTTCAAATTTAAGTATCTCATTTTTTGTAATAAGTTATATTTATGTTTTGTCAATTTCTTATAATTAATTACTATATTAAAATAAATATGAAAGATGCCAAAATAATACTGGCTTGATGTAGATGAAAATGGTCGACAGGATAAAGTATCCATTTCATATGGTTTATAACAGTGTTTCCCAAAGTGTGGTACGCGTACCCCCAGGGGTACGGGAACAGTTTAGCAGGGGTACGCGTTCTTATGCGAAATATTTTGCAACAAACGAAAATTTCAAAATATTTTATTTAAAAACAAAGCTAGCCATGAAAATTTACGATTACGTATTTTTCTATTGGCTATTTTTTGTAGAGTTAACAGTTAATAATTAGTGGTGTCAACAGCCAGTTGTGATTTTTACCTTTTATGCGATTTTTTATAGTAAAAAATTCATTAATTTTTTTATTGGTGGTACTCAGCGTTACGAAAAATTTAGAAAGGGTACACAAAAGTCATAAGTTTGGGAAACACTGGTTTATAAAATAACATTAATTTAAGCTTTCAAAATAATATGATGTGGAATTTATTTTTATACAAGCATTTAAAATTTCTTTATGATTTCTTCAAAATTGCTCTTATAAATTTATCTAATCTAAATGTTTTGATCTCTAAGTAAATTTTCAGTGATTAAGAGGCATGATTATAGAAATGTATCATAACAAAAGTATTAAAGTTCATAAAATGAGGTAAAATTTTTATTTATTTTGTAAGGCAGGGGTGTCAAACTCATGGCCCGAGATGAACATTTTTGCGGCCCAGTCAATATATCCGACGCAAAGTAAAAATAAAATAGAAATGTGAATTAGAAAGAAAACTAGCATATAAAATTAGAATATACTTTATTTATAAACTATACAGATCATTTTAAATTGTACGTGCGAAAATGTAAAATTTTAATTGGCTTGCGGCATCCGCCATTCCAGGGATACTGCATCGTATCAAAAATATGCAGAAAAAATTTCAAATCTTAGAACCGAATTTGACACAAGGTTTAAAGATTTTAATTCCTTGGAAGACAAATTTTGTTTGTTTCCTTCGATTTTTCTCAATAAATATATACCCAGTACCTAGTAATATGCAAATGGAAATGATTGAGATTCAGTACGACTCAATTTTGAAGGCAAAAGAAGCGAGTGTGACTGAATTTTACAAATATTTACCGGCAAGGTTTGAAAATACTCGGAAATTCTCACATGAAATTATTTCTATGTTTGGAAGTACTTATCAGTGAGAGCAATTATTTTATGTTATGAATGGAAATAAATCTCCTGTCCGAAACCGTATTAATAACGCTCACGTTGGGTCAATTTTTAAAGTAGTCTCAGCCAATAAAATTTCTCCCGAAATAGGAAAGATAGTAGCAGAGAAGAGATGTCAAGTATCAAAGAATAATTTAACTTTATATATGTTTATTANGTCCTGTGACGTTTTAAATTCATTAGAGACTGATGTGTTTTATTGGTCTCATAAATATATGGGAGTTTTTATGCAAAAAGTCTGTTTAGCTGATCCTAATTCTGTATCACAGGATTTTTTACTGAAAATTTTGAGGGCTACTCATGTTTATAATTCACTTCTAAAAAAAGCTAAAAATTCTCAGTGTAAGCTTTTAACAACTGACTATATCTTCTGTAAATTTATCTTGTCACAAAAGGAAAATATTGTATCATTTAATCTTATTTTGCAAAATCTGTCTTTTTTTGAAGCCAAAGTTGCTGCTGAGAGAATTGTAAATAATTTAAGCTCTAATTGTAAAAAACATAAACAGACGGATTTAAAGAGAAATCAGATGCATGAAATCCAAGAAAATGAAACATCTGAATTTTCCCCCAACAAAAATCATGATTGTTTAGAACAGTCGAAAATGAAAAATACTTCTCCATCTCACACAAGTAATTTTGCAACCATGCTACTTGCTATTATACAAAGAAATCAGTCATTAATATTAAAATATATGTATTCCATTACTAGTTTAGAAGGGTTGACTGTTTCAAGAAGGAGAACATTTGATAGTTTAACACCAACTTCATCAGGTAAGTTATATCATTTTTGAAATAACTAACTGCCTAAGATTCAGTTAAAGAATTCAATATAATTTTTTTATGTTTAATTTATGTATATAAAATGTACATAATAATGCAAATATATTCTTTTATTAAATTTAAACGTCCGAAATTTATTGTTCAAAAACTTTATGCAGTATTTAAATCTTTTTTTCAGTTTTATTCCATTTTTTTAACTCATTTTATAAAGGAGTCGTGAATGCATTTTTAAATTATTTTAGTTGTATTATTCGTTTAATTTATGTGGAAGAATGTTATAAAAAATAACTATTTTTAGATTTCTTGTTCGTAACTTTTAAAATCTGAATCTCTGATTTGATTTTAGAACATATTTCATTCAGTATTAATTGTACTAAAAACAAAAACGATAGATTAAATGTGAACCTGATTACATTCTTAAATAACATAACATTTTTTGGTACTTGCATATTATCCTGCCAACCATTTTCGCCAAATCTGAATTAAACTTAAAAATGGTTCAAATTTAAATATCTCATTTTTTGTTATAAGTTTTATTTGTATTTTGTCAATTTCTTATAATCAATTACTATATTAAAATAAATATGAAAGATGCCAAAATAATACTGGCTCGATGTAGATGAAAATGGTCGACAGTATAATATATAAGTGTCCATTTCATATGGTTTATAATAGTGTTTCCCATAGTGTGGTACGCGTACCCCCAGGGGTACGGGAACAGTTTAGCAGGGGTACACGTTCTTATGCGAAATATTTTGCAACAAACGAAAATTTCAAAATATTTTATTTAAAAACGAAGCTAGCCATGAAAATTTACGATTACTTATTTTTCTATTGGCTATTTTTTGTAGAGTTAACAGTTAATAATTAGTGGTGTCAACAGCCAGTTTACCTTTTATGCGATTTTTTATAGTAAAAAATTCATTCATTTTTTTATTAGTTTTACTCAGCGTTACGAAAAATTTAGAAAAGGTACACAAAAGTCATAAGTTTGGGAAACATTGGTTTATAAAATATCATTAATTTAAACTTTCAAAATAATATGATGTGGAGTTTATTTTTATACAAGCATTTAAAATTTCTTTATGATTTCTTCAAAATTGCTCTTATAAATTTATCTAATCTAAATGTTTTGATCTCTAAGTAAATTTTCAGTGATTAAAAGGCATGATTATAGAAATGTATCATAACAAAAATATTAAAGTTCATAAAATGAGGTAAAATATTTATTTATTTTGTAAGGGGATGTTGTTGAAAATTTTTTGACTTGGAAAGTGGGCGGTGATCTGAAAAAGGTTGGGAACCTATGAATTAAAGGATTGCCTTTAAATTTAGAGGCTTAAGCTATCTTCAAATTAGAAACAAAACTCAAAATTGCTGGTTGAAAGTAAAAGTTACTGTTTTCTACAGCATAAAAGAAAAAAAAAACACATTCAATGACTATTAATTTCTATGCTTCTTTTAATACACATTTTAAGACTTTTGAAAATTGCAAAATTATTTTGGTTTATTTTAATGAAATGGTGTGTAAAATTTATCATGTACTAAACTTTTAAAATGCTCATAAACTGGATTCAAAATTAAATTCATATTGAATTATGTACAAAATATAGTGCAATATCAAATATTATTGTAACATTTATTTATTTGTTTCTAGATGCAAATAAATTATTCTCTTGCACTAGCACAATTATTTATCTTGCCTTAATAAATCAATCTACAGTTACTTCATGGGTGTCACAGGGGTCTAATTTTTAAGGAGGACAAAATTAAAATACACAGCTCTCAAAATTTCAAACATACGAAGAAAAAAAGTCTTATCTCTGCTGAATATTAGCAAAAGTGTTAATTGTTTTTATCTCTTTCTCGTTTTTCACTTTGATGAATTTAAATCCATGATGATTCATAAAAATTTTATTTTCCTTGCTTCAAATATTGCGAGTGACTTTTTGAGATTTTCAATTGTTGCGGGTTAAATATGCCTCTTACCCTTGAATTATTTTATTCTTATTTTTTATTTGCTCAAAATAATATGTTTCATATATTTATAATACTTTACTTTTTAGCTCGCCAAATGTGGGATTTGCCTCAACTTTATAATACTGATGATAACTACACTTTATTAGAGGAAGTATATTGGAGTAATTTTTGGAGCAATATCAGAAAATTTGTTTTAAAACTGTTATTCAATGTACCCTATCATCAGTATGGAGATTCAGCAATTGGAACAATTATGTTATGGCCTGATTCATTTATTAAAATAGTGTCAGAGACTTTTAAAATCAGTATTAATAATAAAGGTGTGTAGAATTGCATTCATTCTAATATTTTGAATATACTCTTTAACTCTTTTGTTCATATTTGATTTTTGGTGGATTATAGTATTTAAAAAACTATTGTTTAGATTTGAGATTTGTATAATGTGAATATGAACTGATTAACTGTCTAGATATTCTATGGCAAATCTATATCATTCATGTATCGAGATATAACGGATAATTATAACAATTTTAGTGTCAACTCTGTATATGATATGGTTTAGTTTATATTAAGCAATTACCTCAGAAAACTATTAAAACATAGATATCATTTTTTTTTTGTATCAATCATTATACACATGGTTATAAGTTTTCAACTTTTTTACAGTTAAAATTGCACCTTGTTTGCTAAAAATATTTATTTTGAATTCTTTGACATTTTTAGTATAACATGGTATAGTCCTACTTCTATTTATAGTTATATTTTAGATAGTTAAAATTTTCTATATTAATACATTTTTATCTGGTTTTTACATCAATCTTAATTTCAATCAGGAAATCAAGTTTCCATATTCAGGTTCAAAATAGTTTGTTTTTGAAAGGCTTTAACTATAAGTTTTTTTTTAAAAAAATGCTAATTTGAGTTTTTATTTGTAAAAAGCCAAATTTAAAACAAGTTTAAATTAATATTAATAAATTTATGTTTTTAATTGATATTGCAGATTTTTCTATGGAGGGAAGATGCATTATTAAGCAATTATATGATTGTCTTATTATTCATCAAGGAAAATTACTTTGGGACAAAGGTAATAATTTAGAAAATTTTAATTCAAAATTTTTTTTTCAGAAGGGAATGTATATTTGTGAAAAAAGTCCATATACAGTCAAACTTCAATATCAAAAAAACAAAATCAAATATTTTAATTGAGTATTTCTTAACAGTTGTACCAATATAATAACCGTATTGACAATTTTATAAAATGTATAATTTGTATTTACTTCAAAAAACAGTTGCTTCTGACAATGTCGATGTCTTTGCTTCTTCATTTGAGTTTACGTTTTAATAAAAAATTTCTGTTTGATCCATCTTCCCCGTTTGATATATATTGTGATGCACCATACATGTGATTAAGCCAAGAGATATAGAACATCAAGATATTTATTTGCAAATTCAAATAGCAACAGATTCAAATAGTAACAGTGAACTTGACACACAGGCATGTATTATTCACTATGGTGTAATGCACTATTAGGAATTCTTGCATGTTGCATAGTTTGCACATTGTTGCTAATCAACAATTATGGAAAGTTCAGTACCAATTCTTTCTCACTTTAAACACAATCTGATAGCACATGGCATTGTTTAGGATCATAGCTATTGACAGACAGATTCAATCTAGTTTTTGCACTCTCAGATCTTACCTGAGCTCATGGCTTCAAATCCATTTAACAAGGTGGCATAATGGTTATAGAGAGCAAGGTCCATCCCCATTATTTGGTTGCAACTGCCAGTCACTACAACGAACACTGCAGCTGATTAATAGATTAGAATAGAAGAAAATGAGAAACGGACACCTAACCATATTCATTGTGTGATCTAATTTTGATAACATTGATGCCAATAACTAAATGTTTTATATTAACTATTAAGAATTACTAATAAAAGTAAATATATGATAGTTACCTACCATTACAGAAAAATACATGCTAATTTACTACTTTTGCCATGCATTGCGACTGCTTTGCCCTCTCCCCCCTCTCACTAACGACTGTGGAACTACTAAAAGAGGTACAAATGAGGTCCACGAAAGTTAACAAAACTCTAAATTTTGTAAAAGCAGTCAATAAGTAATCATAAGTAAGCAGTCATAAGTAAAGGCAGTCAATATTCGATTGACGCTTTTGGTAAGACTGACAGAGGTTTGACTGTATAAACTTTGAATAATTTTCTTTACATATCATACAAATATTTCTTTTTTAACTAACAAGATTTAAATGGAAAACATATTTAAATATTTGTTTACAGTAGATACAACAAATGGACCAAAATAACCCGCTTTAGTGTCTGCTAAGATCTGTAGGCAAAAGGTTAACAGCGCTTGCATTATTATTTGATCCTTTATAGGCCATTTTTTTCCAGTAATATATTAAAATATTTTTGGGATTGAAAACGATTTATGAAAAGAAATTTATTTAGCTTATTACCTAAAATTAATCTGATTTATAGGACTTTTTTTTTAGTGGAATTTTCTAACTTTTGTGGACTTAAGAGAATTAGCTCTGAACTTTAACTTACATGCTTATAAATAACTGAATTTATAAATTCCTTATTTACAACTACAAATAAACTAAGAAGAAATGATCAAATGCATATCGCACAAGAAAAAATAGTTCCCCAGAGCTGGTATCCTTTTTTTTTACCCCACGCTAGTATTTACTGTTATCCCCATCCATTGCTATGCGCTCCTATCTAACTAAAGCACTGATTAAAAATGCACTTTTCTAATTTTTTTTATTTTATTTGCAATGATAAAGCCATATGTGCTGGAAATTTAATAAGAACAAAAAAAATTTCTCCCACTAATTAAAATTTTAAAAATGCACTTACTTTAAAAAGATAAAATGCTCCAATCCTGATAAGTGACCAATTCTAAATAACCTTTTCCTATTTATTATTTTGTGCTTGTGAAAGTGCAAAGTAAATGTAATTATACATTTTGCTTAAAAAAATTCTTCGTCAAAACATATTTTAAAAATATATCCCTCCTTGATTATTAAAAAGTATCCCCTAGAACTATTTATCATTTATAAAAGTCTAAAAAAGATTAAGTATTAAATCTATAAGTATTAAATCTGTAAGTAATTAAGTATTAAATCCATAAGTAATTAAGTATTACATCCATAAGTAATTAAGTATTACATCCATAAGTAATTAAGTAATACAAAATGTAAATTGGAAAAGTGCATTTATAATCAGTTCTTTAAATGGGAGCATATGGCAATAACATATCTAAGAATATTTACTGAGCTCTTAAATTCTGAATTCCCCAAGAATTTCCCAAGGTTGAATTTCCCAAAGTTTTATGAAGGGTTAAGCAGGCTCCCTGCTTAACCCTTCATAAAACCTTGGGAAATTCATTTTACAACTTCATAAGGGGGCTGGACTTCTTTATCCTTGAACTGAACTGCTTTAACCCTTCACTTGGTGTACCATTTTTATCTCATAAACTTGTGTGTATTATACACTTTGTACAGCACCTACAAAATATTAATTTTATGATTTGTGTTTGAATAAGATAGATGAGACAACTAAATTTATATCAGAATTTATTAAATAGATTAAAGCTACAAAATATTCTGCTGTCATTTTGTTATTATGTTGCTAAACTTTGTAATCTGTTTCAGAATTTTCTCTATCATTACCTGCAATTCAATCCCATCTTTATACAGTAATTACAACATCTAAAAAACAACTGAGAACTTATTCTGGAAATTCGTTGCATAAATGCTTGTGTGTATTAGTTTCCAACTGCTCTGAAAATATACAAGAAATGGACTTAATGACATATCTACCAGGTACTATTAATTTTGTATACCCGAATTTTCTTAGCAATTTTGTATCTTTTCATTTATGAAATTATTTTTTTCTCTATCTACTGGAATATTTTAATCATTTATTTTTTCATATTTTAATCATTGATCTGTATTTTTCTCTTGCATTTGGAGATTATTTTTATTAAAACTGCATAAGGGCAATTTGGTGGTAACTGGTGTTACATTGTTTGATAAATTTCTTATTTTTAAATTGTGTTTTCATTGATAAAAATGTACTACTTATTTTAAGAATTATATGGAATGCTATTCAAAAGCATTATATTATTATATATATAAGAAATTATAAATGTTNTGCTTGTGTGTATTAGTTTCCAACTGCTCTGAAAATATACAAGAAATGGACTTAATGACATATCTACCAGGTACTATTAATTTTGTATACCCGAATTTTCTTAGCAATTTTGTATCTTTTCATTTATGAAATTATTTTTTTCTCTATCTACTGGAATATTTTAATCATTTATTTTTTCATATTTTAATCATCAATCTGTATTTTTCTCTTGCATTTGGAGATTATTTTTATAAAAACTGCATAAAGGCAATTTGGTGGTAACTGGTGTTACATTGTTTGATAGATTTTCTTATTTTTAAATTGTGTTTTCATTGATAAAAATGTACTACTTTTTTTAAGTTATATGGAATGATTTTCAATAGCATTATATTATTATATGTATAAGAAATTATAAATGTTATAATCTTGTCTTTTGTATCATGAAATTACCCACATGTGTATGTAACTGATATTTAACTACAAAACTAACATTTGATTAAATAATTCAAGTTAAAAAATAGATCGCATAGCTGTGTAAGAACAAAATTTAATAAACCTATTGTAAAACAGAACAGACTAACAAAACAACACTAGCTCCTACGTCTAGTCTTTTAACTTCTCTTTTTAAAAAAAATCATATCTTTTTAAACAGCTTTTTGGAATGTGTAGCATTTATTGTAAGCAAAAAATTATAATATCTAATACTTTGAAAATTCATACAAGTTAATTTAAATAAATTGCTTTTTATATTTCTATGCCTTCCTCTTTTGTCTCAATCTCTTTTCATTGCTTTCTAGTTTTTCTGCATTTACAAGCTGTAATTGATTCATATATTTCTTGGGTGAACGTCAAAAGCAGAGCTCTCATCGCTTCTCAAAATCTTTCTACTCTTTTGCTCATTTATTCTTCTGACTGTAATGTAAGCATCTTTCATTCTACTATTTTAACTATATTTTTTAAATTCTCCTATCTCTTAAAGACATATTAAATAAAATGCTTTATTGTAATGCAAAATGGTACACCTTCAACATCGATTTCTAAACAATTATTTGCACTGAAGAAATCAACGGTATATATTTAGTTATTAACAACCAAATAGAAACTGAAAATATTTTTTAAAATATGGCTTGGTTTTTATAAAACACTAACTTTTACTTAATTTTTGTTTCAGATGTAACAAAAAATTTGCTGATTGAAATATTAAAATAACCAAAATTTTATTTTAAAAAAAAAAATTCTCATTTCATAAGGTTACAAAAAATAATTAAAATAAAGGAAATACTGAAATTGTTTATAAAATATCAAAAAAGTTTTATTTCTTGAAAAAATTAATGCTTCTACTTTCAATTTAAAGTTTGTGTTTCATTAAAGTACTACTACTACTTTTTGTCAAACAACATAATATTGAAACAGTCTTTTCAAGCCAAAAAAAAATCTGTGAAGTATCAATATTGATAAAGTTAGATATTTTGGTTTGTAAATGATGAAATCTCCCATTTGTAAGAAGCTTTGTTATGTATAAATTTATGGGTTTTAATCTAGATTAAAATTATCAAAATCAATGAATAATTCTCAATTTTCACTAGTTTTTAAATGCTTAGTTGATTCAAAGTTGGACCTATTCAAATATCAAAATATGATTTCAGAAATATCTTTCTTTTTCACAAAACTGTGGCTTTTTTTTCATATTGAGGTTCTGCACATTTTTTGAATTATCATGGAGGTAGTTGACTAAAAATAGGTTAAACTTGACCAAATAGACGAATAATTGTTAAATTATATTAAAAACACATTATTTGCAAATGAGTATTTATTTATGTGACAAAAGGGCCTTTGAAAAGCAACCTTAAATATAATCTATATATATTAACCTTTCATCTATTCTAGCATTAATTTTTTTTTTTTCCTATTTATTTTTAGGATGCCTCACAACTTCTGAAATCCAAAGTTGTTCCTGTAATAACAGAATTTAGTTCCTCAACATCTGTGAAAAGATTACACCCTTCTGTAATACCTTTCCTTAAAAATCTTATCAATCAAGTTGATATAATCTGTGTGAGTAATTAAATTTTATAGTATACATGATTACTATGCATTATATTTCTGGTAATTGAAATTCAAACAAAAGTTAAATAGTTACGTTGTTCTTTTTTATCTTTACTTCTTTAAGGTTTATTGAATATTGTTTAATTTTAATATTTTGAACATATTTAAGGAATGTAAGTGTAGAGGTATATATCTGCATACATAAGTATTTTAATTAAACTTGGTATTCCTACCAATTATTTCTCTGTTTATAACATAATATCATAATTAAAAATAAAGGGCTAAAGTTTTGTTAAATGATTAACTTGAAAAAAATAAAAGAATAGATATTATTTTTTATTTAATTTTTAATTGAACTGTTAAGTAAATTTATTTATAGATAAGTATATAATTATTTTTGTTTAACTTTCAACTTTTTTATTGTAAGTGAGGCTTTAACTAACCTTTGTTGGTGTGCGTTCTTGGTGTAATTCATATTGATTAGATTTGTATACTACATAAGCCAAAAAATACTGCCTGAATGGAAAAGATCTATAGTGAATAAATATTTCCTAATTTCCCTTTTAATAATGAAAGTATAAAAAAATTTCATTTATTAGTAGATTAAATCATTTGATTATCATTTTGGAAAAACCGAATTTCCAGTCTTAAAGCAATGCTCGTTCCATGGCTCTGCTACACATTTAAAACTATAATTTAAAGCTAGCTCAGTTTATTTGCAATTAGTTATTTTTGGGTAACAAATGGTGTGGCTTACTACATAATTTACAAAAGAATCTAGTTTCTTTATTTTTTTAAAAAAGAACAATCACTCTAACTGTTTCATCTTTCTTTCATAAAATTTTTTTTAATCCTAAATTCAAGATTTGATTTTACAGAATTTTGCTGCTGAAGTGCCTACAATTCTGCATAAATTTTGTATGTCTGCTGTCACAGAAACGTTGATGTTTTTAATTAGAAGTGCCAAAGTGTGGCAAAAATGTAAGTTATTTTAAGATTATACTTATTATTTATTTAGTTGTATTGTGTTCTAAGGTTTTTATTATTTCTGTTTGATTAATACCAGCTTTGACTGACCATTGTCTTTGTAAATACCATAACAATAAAAAAAAATTTTTGTATTCATAGCAAATTAATTTCCATATGAGTTTTTTTTCATTTCATAGAGGTTATGACCTGAATTTAATTATAAAATTGCAGTGTCAAGAAGTAGTCATAATAATTATCCTAGTTGTTTAGGTCCTCTTGCTCGAATTTGTAGGCACCCTGGTGATGTAGGTAGTAAAAACTTACCTCACTCAGCTGGGGGTTGCTAGTTCAATCCTGGTAGCTGACTAGACAACTATCATGCCTATGCTGGTTGTTGTGTGGAAGTTTTAAAGAGTAGTAATAGTTCAGGTGCTATCCAGTTCATCTGGTGGTGTCTCCCTCATCTGATGCTGTCTACTAAAATATCAAAATTCCTACCATAGCCATAGACAGTCCTGAAAAAAGTGCTTGGCCATGGTTGGGTGGTGTGTTTTAATATTATTTTTAAGTACTTATTTAGCAATAATATTCTTTGATTAAATTATTCTCTAAAATAGATGATTTTTGACATTATTATATAAAGTAAGACAAAGTTATTTGCTGTAAAAGAGGCCTGCATCAATGGTTGTCTATTTATGGTTGAAAATATTCATAATATTTTCAACCATAAGAAAATATTCATATGATTGAAAATATTCATTCATAAATAACATTGTTTTTAACTCAATTTATATAATTATTAAATTAAAACAATATTTTTTCTTGTTCGGTTAAAAACTTAGCATTGTAAAATAGAAATATATTTTTTCCAGGTGTTGTTAATCAGGAATTCAACTTTTATTTCGACTCTATAATGGATTTTTTGTCCCCAATGACAGAAGTGGTAAGACAATTAGAAGACGCGGGTCCTATCATCTTGTCAATAACATCCGGAGTGTGTCAAGGTTTTTTAGCAGTTTTACATAGTATGAAAAGAAAATTAAGGTAATAAATTTTTCCATAGACTTTTTCTTTCTAGTATTTACTTTCTTGTGTAGCTATTTCTGTTACTTCTTTATCACTACTTTTCCTTTCTAAAAAGCTTTTTCCAGGTGTGCAGGGAATATATTAACTTTTACAACTCTGAAAGATTAGCTTTAAATATATACTAGCTTAGTACATAGTTCTGACAATAACTTAGAACTTATAATTTAGTAAATTTGTTGTGCATGAACTTAGACCAAAAAATAGTTTTTTTGCTTTAGAATACTTTCAACTCTCATTTTATTGTTTACCTATTCTCCCTTTCATACAAAAAAAAAAAAAGCAAAATTGTTCTGATTTTTTTTTTCTACTATGTGCTACTTTGTCTGTAAATAACATAGGAAAAATCAGTTTTTTGCTAAAGGGAAGTCACCAGCTTAAAGTTTCTGTTTGATAAATTATAAATTAAATTATACAAACTTTTTTATGTAATTTTAAAAAAATTTTCTGGTGTGTATTGTTATAGCTATTACAATCTGTTTAGTTACCTATATTTTTCCATAAAATTGAATTTTTCATGTTTAAAAAAATATGTGTATGGAAAATGTTTGTGTAACTTTACTAAATTATCTAAATATTTTTTCCCCTTTAATAAAAATCCAGTTTTAGAATTTTTTAAATGTAAATATTTCTATTCATTCTAAAAGTAATCTTAATTCCCATTCTGCTCATTCAAAATGTTTTCAGATAATTGAAAAACGTCAACAATATTATTAATTTTCTATTATCTATTTAAGGAAATGTATGAAAACTAGACTATTATTCCTCCTCTCTTAGGCAGGTTTTTGGTGTATGGGATTTTGAATTTTAAGAAAAAAACATAATTTTTGATAATACATAGATTGGTTTACATTTAGAAATAAATGCTATTAATTACAGATAAAAGATATTAAAATCAAAATTCTACTGTATCTGTTTATTCTAATGTTGTTCAAAGTGAATGTTAGCATTTTAAAGGTCATCAGTAATTAAACTTAATTACTTAAAGGTAAAACAATTTTTAATGCAGTTTAAATCTATTTATGCATTTTTATTTTTAATGAGTAAAAGAATTTTCTTTTCAGGCTCAAAAAGGTGCAAATTCTTCTCATTGAACACACAAAGTTTCTTCAGTGGTTGGAGGGATTAAATTTATCTCAGTCAGATCTCAACTGTATCAAAAAATCTGCCTATTTTGAAAAACTGTATTGTTTATTGAATTTTTTACTGAAGTTATTGAATAAGCCAAAATGTTCTTTAACCAGACAAAATCGCATCACTCCAGCACAACCAGGTATGAGTTTTTCAACATTATTTGTTTGCTTTAATAAATATAAAAATTTAGATTTTTTTTTATTCAACTTTCATTATAAAATCATCTAGATGAATGTCTATAAATGGCATATCAATAACAATCAATTGAAAATAATTATCAAAGAAAAGTTACTCATTTTCTTTCTGGACAGGATTTTTTTAAAAGATTAAAAAGAACTGCAGAAAAGATGTAAAAACAGTATAAATATTGATATTTGTTTGCAATATTATATAAATATTAATCGATTGCTAAAAGTTTTACATTTTTTTCTTGCAAATTATTCTATGTTTGCAAGACTTCACTTAATTTAAATATGCATTGAGCTTTGATAAAATGCTTTGCAAAACAGACATAATTTTGACTACGTGTTCATTTTCTTGCTTTATTTCAAATTTGAATGTCTATGTAGAAAGAATAAGCATGCAAAACTCAACATTTTAAATTATTTTTAGTGAACTTTTTTTCTTTTATATTACTTTTACTTAAATAATTTCCTTTACATAAGTGTAATATACCTCTTATTAAGCTTAAATTATCAAAATATCAATATTTTTTTTTTTGTTTTTGGATTTGTTCTCACACAGTTATAAACCAGAAAAAAAGATCATTGCTCATCAAAATTTTAAAAAAAAAGGTTGTTAGCCATACTCATGCCTTAGATATTTACATTTCATTTGTTTAACTGAATTAAAATCCAAATTTAGTGATTGATTCTTTCAAAATTTCATTTTCAGTAGTATGAGTACTGCCAAAAGTTTTCTTACTCCTTTTGCCTGATTGTCTTAAATAATTATTTAAGAACTTGTGAAAAAATAAAAAGCTTTGCTATTACTTTTTTTGGCTTATAAAACAAATTTATGATTTAAAGTGCACATTCAAAAAATAGTTGCCTGTGTTATATTCTTAGCATTGGTGTGTTTATACGAACAAACTGTAATTGAAATTATAAAAAAAAATTAAAGGAACATATTTTCAAAATCATTTAGAGAATGTGATGGTGACTANTATTTTTAATAGGTAAAAGAATTTTCTTTTCAGGCTCAAAAAGGTGCAAATTCTTCTCATTGAACACACAAAGTTTCTTCAGTGGTTGGAGGGATTAAATTTATCTCAGTCAGATCTCAACTGTATCAAAAAATCTGCCTATTTTGAAAAACTGTATTGTTTATTGAATTTTTTACTGAAGTTACTGAATAAGCCAAAATGTTCTTTAACCAGACAAAATCGCATCACTCCAGCACAACCAGGTATGAGTTTTTCAATATTATTTGTTTGCTTTAATAAATATAAAAATTTAGATTTTTTTATTATTATTATTCAACTTTCATTATAAAATCATCTAGATGCATGTCTATAAATGGCACAATAATCACTTTAAAATAATTATCGAAAGAAAGTTACTCATTTTTTTACTGGACAGGTTTATTTTAAAAGATTAAAAAAGATGGAGAAAAAAACATAAATATACATGTTTGTTTGCAATATTATATAAATGTTATAGGATTGCTAAAAGTTTTGCATTTTCTTTGCAAATCATTCTACGTTTGCAAGATTTCACTTAATATGCATTGAGCTTTGATAAAACGCTTTTCAAAACAAATATAATTTTGACTATGTGTTTATTTTCCTGCTTTATTTCAAATTTGAAAGTCTATGCACAAAGAATAAGCATGCAGAACTCAACATTTTAAATTATTTTTAGTGAACTTTTATTCTATTTTTACTTAAAATAATTTCCATTGCATAAGTGTAGTATACCTCTTATTAAGCTTAAGTTATCAAAATATTTTTTTTGTTGTTATTGGTTTTGTTCTCACACAATTATAAAGCAGGAAAAAGGATCATTGCTCATCAAAATTTTAAAAAAATTTTGTAGTCATACTCATGCCTTAGATATTTCATTTGTTTAGCTGAATTAAAATCCAAATTTAGTAATTGATTCTTCTTTCAAAATTTTATTTTCAGTAGTGTGAGTACTGCCAAAAGTTTTCTTACTCCTTTTGCCTGATTGTCTTAAATAATTATTTCAAAACTTGTGAGAAAATAAAAAGCTTTATTCTTCTTTTTTTTAGCTTATAAGACAAATTTATGATTTAAAGTGCACATTCAAAAAATAGTTACCTGTGTTATATTCTTAGCATTGGTGTGTATATACAAACAAACTGTAATTGAAATTATAGAAAAAATTAAAGGAACATATTTTTAAAATCATTTAGAGAATGTGATGATGACTATGAAAATAATAAGGAAAAAATTATTTTTAAAGCTATGTGTTTTTAAAAAAAATAAAAGGAAGAAACAAAAACAAAAACTATTTAATGCCTTAAATCAAATATATTTACAACACACAAAAAAATTCATTTAGTATTTATATTTTGTTTAAAAAAAAATTACGAAAATATATATATATATTTTTTTTTAATTATTCAGAAGAAGTACCCTTGCAAAATATTCTGACTAAAGATGATATAGCACAGTGGGAAGAAAAGTGTTCTCAGCCTTTTTGTTTTACTTGTATGTAGAATAGAATTTTTACTCTTGATAATATTATATTTAAAAAAAATTGTTCTTATAAAATATATTATTTATTTTGTTTTAAAATTTTTATTACCTATTTTTTATATGAAATGTCATGTTTTTAAATTATTTTTATACATTTTCGAAGAATGTATATTATATGTTAATAAATAATTATTTTTAATATTTGCTGTTTTAAATCAGTCTTAACAACATTTTCATCTGGCAAATAAGTATTAGTAATAATAATGTTATGTTAGTAGTTTTTTACTGCTCTGTGTCTTCTTTTATTTTTACTATGTCTCATAATAGATGCACAAGCTAAGTGGTATCGCTTCCCACACTCGTGCCGCAGATTCTGGGTTCGATCCTCGGGCCAAACAAGGTTGACTCAGCCTTTCATCCTTTCAGTGGATTGATAAAATGAGTTCCAAGCATGCTTGGGAACTAAGCACTGGGGGTTTCGCGTTAGGCTGACGACCCAACCGGAACATATATATATATTTATTTATAGTTTCTAAAATATATTTAGGTAATGTAAAGTTTAAAACAACAATTTTTATGTTTCTTTTAAAAATATTAGAAAATATGTTAGAAAAAAATGGAAAACTGGCATACAACGTTAAAAAAGAAACCTAAAGCATGAAAAAATTTTATCTGAGTTTCAATACTTAGATTTTAATTCCACTATTAAAATGGTAACTGTCAACTAAAATGAAAAAAAGTTCAGTTTACACGCATGTGAGATGATAGAGCAGTCTGTTCTGTTCTATCCTAAGCTTGCACCTTATTTGCATTTCTGATTTTAGCACACAAGTTTCTCTCCTTTTAATTCAGTCTTAAAGATAAATGTTTTTAATATTATTGATAAAACAAGGTAGGTAAACTTTAATACTTTTGAAACAGAGACAATTTATAAGCAATCATATCTGTTATGAACCGAAATTTGAGCTCAGCCTCTTAATTAATATCATTAATTAACTAATCGAACTCTATAGAGCAATTGATCAACTCTTTGCTAATCTTCGTGGCATATTTTTTTTCAATGAAACAGTATTTTTTAAAGTTTCTGATAACATTATTCATTCCATTTTCTGTAACATACATCATCTTAAAATCATAAATGAATATTCTTAAACTTATTCTCCAAATTCATAATCATTTTAATCATAAACATTTGATATGAGTTTGTTCCCTTAAATTTAAATAAATTTGAGTTTCTTTCCCTGTAATGAATTTTTTTTTAATAGGCTTTGTAACATACTTCGCATAACATACAAAATTTCAAAATGTTAATGAATTCAAAGTGAAAGAATTTTTTGAAAAGATTTTTTATATTAACGAAATTTAAAAATGATTTTTTTTTTATTTCTTTCAAAGCTAGGTTTATATTATACCACAATTTTCTGAGTCAAACTTTTTTTTATTGAATATAATTTATTTAATTTAAAACGCACGCACACATTAAAAAAGACATCATTTTTGGTAAATTCTTCTTGATGTTCATTCTTCATCACAAACAGTTACACAACGTATTCAATACTTAATTGCATGGTTGTTAAACAGGCTTTTCACATCAGTTGAAAGAGAGCTCTTAGATTTTAAAAAAATTAATAACTTTTTCTTTGTGTAAATTATATCTGTGTGTGTATTTTTTATTTTATTTTATAACAGTCGTTCAACAGCCAACCCAGATTTTGAGTTTAAGGCTACTAATTTTTAACTGCGGACTCCTGGATCAATTATTGGAAGACGTTTCCTCTGTGAAGTACTTTTTGTTGGAACTAACCCACATTTCTGTTACATGGAGAGGAAAACCTCCAACAGTTAGCCTGAGGGCAAGGGGACTTTAACCCATGATCCGTCTACCATTGAGGATATTTTTACGTTAGCACTGTGGTTGGTACAAGCTGGTTGTGGATTTCGAATTCTGGCCATCGCCGGAATTCGAACCTGGTTCGCCTCATTACTAGACGAGGATTCTATCCCCAGAGCTACCACAGCTCATATGTGAGTATGTATCTATGTATATATATATATATATATATATATATGTATATTTATCTGATANATATATATATATATATATTTATGTTATATACAACGTTTGCCCACTTAATATGGTGTCCCTGAAAAAGTGGCTAACAAATCTACCCTGCAAAATGCCTGAATTGACTAATATTAACAAACCCGGGCATTGGAAGAAAAAAAAAACTTTTTATGATTGAAGCATGATGCTTACAGTAAAAAAATTTAAAATTGTGTCAATATTTTTAGCACAAGAAATTGTGACACTCAGCTTTTGCCAAGCATCACCATTTTTTATGACCACTAATGAGAAGCGTGATAAAAACCATTAAAATCAAAGATAAAATTATGAAGAAAGTATTTCATGTTTTAAAAATTTTGGTCATGTCTGACTTGTTGATTGTTTCTTCTCTGTTTTTAAAGGTTTTTATTATACTCTCTTCTCCTTAGTGATCACAAAAAATGGAGTTCCTTTTCTGAAGCCTAGTTTCACAATTTATTGTGCTAAAAATATCATTCCAATTCCATTATAGGTTTTTTACAGTAAGCATTATGTTTCAATCATAAAAAAATGGGTGTTTCCATTTTGTAACTGTAACCATGAGAGCTTCACAATCCTTATTAACACGATTAAACGCATAGATTTATAATACCTACATACAAAATTTTATTTAATTTACTGAGCTCTTCAGGGGGTCATATATCCGGAAAATTATTTTAAAATCATCTTGTTTATACTTTTTATTTGCAATAAATTATTCCAGAAATTAAATTCCATTTTCAGCAGCTAGGATTATTTTTCTGTATTTTCCCCTAAATAACTAAACAATTACTGAAAAATACATAACAAGCTCTAAACTATTATTTCACAAAAAAGACTTTATTATTAGTAAATAAGTGTGAAAACACAAAAGATAAAGATAGTTAATAGAAAAGCAGTGTTGTCTTGTTAGATAAAAAAAATGTATACTAAAAAAATCAGTCAAAAATATGCTAAGAAGCAACACTACATATTAAGGAAATACAAATAAAACAGTAATAATTTTGTTGCTGCTGAAGCTGAAACAATAATACAATTTGTCTATTAAATTTAATACATTGACAGTGTGTCTATTTAGTTTTTAAAATATTAAAATACTTTCAATATAAAGCATAATATAATGAATACTATTCATGCTGTAATTTCTTATTAGCTCCAAAAATAATCTTCAGAATTAATAATTGTTATTGTATTTATTAGTGCTAACTAATTTCTTATAAGTGAATTAAATAATCTTTGGGGGAAATAATTGTTATTTCTTAATAATTCATACTGTAATTTCTTTGGTGCCTATAATATTCCTTGGAAGAAATATTTTATAACCGTTGTTGAACAGCTGACCCAATTTTTTGGGTTTAAGACTACTAATGTTCAACTTTGTCGCCTTGTAATTTTGAACCCAATCAAGAAGACAAGAGAACTCTTGGATCAAGTATTGGGAAAAATTTGCTTTCCTGGAGGACTTTTTGGTGAAACTAACCCTCATTCGCATTACATGGAGAGGGAAACCATGAAAACATCCCACGGTTAGCCCGACGGCAAGGGGACTCTAAACCATGATCCGTCTACCACTGAGGATATTTTACGTCATCAGTGGTCGGTGGAAGCCGTATTCGGAATTCGTACTGACCAGCCATCGCTGGGATTCAAACTCTGCTCACCTCATTGGAAGGCGAATGTTCTACCTCCTGAACCATCCTGGCTCCAGTAGAAATATTTATGATTATTGTATCGAAATAAGAACTTTCTTTTAATTATTTTGTGTGTAGACTTATTTAGAAATGGATAGTAAGCGAAACTATAGCAATGATGCATTAGAGTTTTTACTAAAAATTAAGGAAAGTTTTCCTAAACCTGTTTTTCCATAATTCTAAATATAGAAAAATTCTCACTTACAGCTTCCTTGAAAATCATGTTTCAATTTGTTTTTTTCAATTTTATGACTTAAGAAGTATTATACAATAGTTTTTTTGCTCTAAAATGCTGCCTTGTTTTAAGAAATACTCTTAAGTGAAAAAGAACACAATTATTTTAGGTATCAAATCAACAAATGACGAATTTACATTGTTTTCAATTTAATTATCATTTTTTCTAGTTTTCAATAGTAACCCTTTGCTACTAAATAGAATGAAGTATATCAAATGTTATTTTACTACAATATTTTGCTAACTGATGAAATCTCAATGATTCTGAAAATGAGAAATTTACAAACTTTCATTTTTCTAATTTTGAGTAATAATCCTTCATTAGTAAATAAAATGGAGCATATATGAAATTATTTTACAGCAAATTTTGTAAGCTGTTAAAAATCTTAATCATTTTATCGACTAAGGCTAGTTAAAAGTTTTTAGTTTTCAATAATTATCCTTTTTTACATCTTAAATAAAATTAAGCTAACAAGAAATTATTTTACAACAGTATAATTTGTACGTTGTTAAAAATCTTAATGATTCTTTAAATATCAAATTTACTAATTTTGATTTTTCAAATTTTCAGTAATTATCCTTTATTGCTAAATAAAATGAAGGATATCAAATATTATTTTACTACACTATTTTGTAAGCTGTTGAAAATCTTAACGACTCTGCAAATGATAACTTTACTAATTTTTATTTTCCTAATCTACAATAATTATCCTTTGTTACTGAATAAATTGAAGCTTATCGAAAATTCTTATACAACAATAATTTGAAGCTGTTGAAAACTCTTAAGGTAGTATGAATAAAAAACTTTTAATTTTTTCAATTTTAAGTGATTGCTCCTTGTTAGTAAATAAAATGAAGCTGTGTAAGAAATTATTTATAAGCTGTCGAAAATCTTAATTATTTTACGAATGATAAATTTGAAAGCTTTCATTTAACTAATTTTGATTTTTCAAATTCTCAATAATTAATATCCTTTATTGCTAAATATTATGAAGCATATCAAAAATTATTTCGCAGCAATATTTAGTAAGTTGTCCAAAATTTAAAATCTTAAATATTTTTAAATCCAGCTAATTTGAATTAGCTTTTTATAAGAACTAACAGTATAAGATTTACCTTAAAAATTAGAGAGAACAGCTTATAATTCTAAATGTAAATTTTTATATAATAGAGAATAAGTCTCAAAAAATTTTCTGCCATTTCAAAAATTACAGCAATCGACGTTCCCAACCAGAAAGCTAGGAAACCACCTAAATGTGCAAGCAACTGAAAATTTAAATATCTAGCTTTTTGCGTATAAATTTTCTGATCCAGAGTTTTGAAGTAAACTTTCAACTTTAAATTAGACTTCGAAGCATTCACATTTCTCTTTTCCCGAAAATGGGAGACACGACTTGGGAGAAATTTCAGAGATTTATTGTAATGAGTTGCATCACCCAAAATTATCCATTTTTTAAACAGATTGTAGTCATAGGTACAATTCGCTTCAAGCATACCGAGAGCAGCGTCTGGATCGTTGCTGTTTGTATCAGATGGTAACGAAGATGACGAAACTAGTAAATCATAAGTTTCAGAGGAACACGAAAGTGGACAGTCACAGGTTATATTACCTTCAACAAAAGAATTCATTACTTCATTTAAGCATTCCTTATCTTCCAAATTTCCTAAATCACAAGGCTTTAATCCTGCGTGCGGAATGAAGGGATCTGTACAAAAGCACTTGTACAAACTGTAACGTTGCTTACACGAGACGATACAGTCATGCTGACTCTTAACTGTTGTCTCATAGTCGTACTTTTTACAGCCATCCTTAAAAGGTTTGGGTAACCTCTTACGTGAAACTTTTGTGAGTGCTACTTGAGTTTCAAAACCAGGGCTGATGTTTATTCCATTTTCGACCAAGTTGGGTTGTTCATCTCGATTGTGAATGACCAAACGTAAACCCGAAGATTGTGTTAAATCTAAATATTGCTCTTCATGAATATTTAAATCCATTTCCAGTCCAGCTGTTGAACCTCTTTCAGTGATGGCCATTAAATCCCTAGGATTCGCATTAAAGGTGTAGCAATTTCCAAACTGCACACTGTGATGGTAACTGAACTCCGTTTTGCTACATGGATTTGATTGGAAAGAACACTTTTGAACTAACTCGTGAAACAGATGACCATAGCACCTTTTGCTGCTTGTGTCTAATTTCATGTATTTAGTGACAAATCTCTCTGTATTTGTTCCACCATATACTGGAAATGTTTTATCGGAATCGTTGTGTAACTCTGCATTGTTTTCGGAATATATTTTATCATGATGCGGGAGCAGGTTACTCACTGAATGTGAAAACTTTCCTTCGATGCATTTCTTAAAAGACTTGTCTGTACAATCCATATATTCTCTTTTCATTCTATTCAAATTGCAGAAAGTCACCGCAGGGAATATTAGTTTTAAATTTGAATCAATTTTCAAATCAGTTATAACAGGATATTCTAAATAGATGCAGAAAAATTTATGAACTTCATAGATGCACACGCATGAAGTGACGAGTAAAGCAAGACTCCAAAAATATTTGCGAAATTTAGTGTCGGAATTTCTTATGTGAGAAATAGCTGGAATAGAAGACTTGTTGTAAGATGCCATCACTAAACTCGATAATGATCTCTTGTTTTCATTAAAAGTTTCTTCTAAAGGGCTTATTTTATCTAGTTCCTCGATGCTCGCTAACCACCGGAACTTTCCTTGATTCATCCTTTAAGTATTAAAATTGAAAGCAATTGGGAAAAAGAAACATTAACCAAAAAATTTTAAATTAAAATTGATGCCTTAAAAATAAAATTCTTAAATAAATAATTTTAGCTATTTTCTTCCAAATTATTTCAATCCGTACTGTATCCCAACTACATCAATGAATTATAGTTCCGTTGTCCACTCATTTCGTTGCCACTTATGAAAAAAATGTGGGGGGTTTTTTTTCATGTTACAACAAAAATGTCTACATTCGTGCAAAATAAATTACACCTCTCTGTTTATGTTTATAAGATCCTAATATGCCCATCATCTTTTCAAATATAAATATAAAAAAAATTAACTTGTCTTTTATTTGTCTGATTACGTTCATTTTATATGAATTCATTGTCATTTCACGTGCATGTAGATTGTCACTTAGTATGATCGGGCTTAAAAAAACTGCTTTCACAAAAAAAAAAGTTTTTGTCAGCTGCTGTAGTAATTGCGTGAGTATCATTTAGAATTAGGCAAAAAAAATAATATTTTTGAGATATCTTGGTGTAGAAAATGCCTTTTTATTAATTAAAAAAAATGAATGAATTTTTTTTTTCTTCATTTGAATCGTTATTCTTTAGAATCGGCTGGTATACTTAGTTTTCGCTAATTTATTCTAAACTATAAGAAAAGCTAATGCTATTATTAACATTTAATTGAACTAATATGCATTTATTTATATTACTTCCGTTTATTCTATTAATATGTTTTTATTAGCTTTCTTCCGTGTCTATGAGTGTGGAATCTTGCAATCCAAGTTTCTTCCACTTTCCTGCTAGCTAGAACGCTCAAATCTATATTGGAGATAATTTTATGACGACGATGCAAGTTTCTGTCGTTTCCTGACTCCTACAAGCAGAATTAATCTCGATATTAACTCCAAAGGAAATTTGTCGCTACTAACAGAATTTATCGCTTTGTCAAATCGTTAGTTAAAATTTCGACTGAGTCGATTTTTAATCAAAATTTCGACCTTTTTCCGACTAGCTTGTGTGATCAAATCTCAACTGGAGCTCTGCGCTTGCTGACAAATACATCATTTTTTATCATTTCCTGACCGCTTCGAGCAGAATGTATCACTAAATAGAACTTATCGCCAATCAAAATTTTACTAGAATGCTCAAATTTCAACTAAAGAATCTGAATGAAATAATTCTATTTAAACCATACTTGAAGAAAAAATTTAGAGTGCATCATTTTCTTAAACTTCTATCAATAGAAATTTCCTGTCACGCGTCTTTAGATAATTGAGTCGCTCAGAAGCCAATGCGGTTAAGTCCAAAACACAAAAATTGAGAAAATTAATGTTTTTTGATACATTAGTTTTAAAAATTTTTGGTTTATTAATTTAATTAGAAAAGTGTGTAAAGTCTTTTTTCGAGGTGTAAACTCTGCAAAGAAACAAGATATGTACAGGATGTGTAAATAAAAAATTAAGTATTTATTGAAATAATGACAGCATCTTAAAAATTTTAGGACTTATACCTTTTGGCAGCTGAAAAAGATAAAATATATATATAGTCTACTAGTATAAATGAACTTTTATTTTTCACAATCATCACTAGATACAGTGACTAATAGAAAATAAACTGTTGGATTATTTCAAAAATTGTGTTTTACTTCAAAACTAGAGTGGCGCTTTTCTTTGTTTTAGGAAATGAAAATAAAATAAATAAATAAAAAAAAAAACTGCAAATACCACATTTTAAAAAAATACTACGAAAAATACCATACCCCTTTTTTTGGTGAAAATATACTACGTCTGGCAACCCTGAGTTACTATGAATTTCTTGTTTTTCAGTGTTACCAACAAATATCGAAAGAAGAAGAAGAATTTAATTTTAATTTCAAAGTTTATGTAAAAAAATATTGATAAAAGATGGACTTATTCACAATGGCTTCTGAAATTATTATACAATATATTCAGAAGCTATTAAAAAAAGGGCTGTTTGACCTAGAAAAAAGTAACCAACGAATAAATCCTTTAATAACTAAGAAGATTATTATTTATTTCATCAAAACTTCCAAAAATCAGAAAATATCAAAAAATGGACTTAACCGCATTGGCTTCTGAGCGGCTCAATTAGTTGTGACAAAAACAGAATTATCTCTCTTTTTTTAATCTATTTAAGAGACTTAGTTTTGAAAATTTTTATTTTATTACACATATCTATTTCAATGCAATATAGAGTACTGTTTTTTATATATGCTACAGAAGTTTATCAAAAAACTCCTTCTATTTTCTAATCACATAATTTGTTTATAAAATGCTTCAAAGAACAAACCTTCAGAATTTTCATGAAAGCAATAATGGTTTGTTTACCTTTATTTAAATTAAACTAATTTTCTAATTTAATTGCAGAAGAGATAAATAATTAATAAAAACATTCATAATAGTTTATTAAAAGATGTTTCTGATATAAAAATGAATTTTATTGATTAAAACATTTCAATTAATTTTTTTACGCATAAAATCAATAGGGGAGCGAAATTTATTTTTGTCATTATTTTCATGAAAATAATTAAATAAGTTTTATTGATAAAACTTCCGTTCGTATATAAACAAAGTTTGCTTATAAACAAAGAAATTTAGAAAAAAAAAAGGAAATTGATTAAATAAAGTATTTGATCGGTTGCTAGGCAATTGGACTGCAAAAATAAAATTAAGGATAGAAGGCTCATTATTTCTTGCTACAATAGATAAATGACAGATTTTTTAAACCTTTTGAATATCAATCTCGTATCACTAAAATTAAAAAGCTGCACCCAATATGAATAATAATTCAGCCAAAAAATCATTGTCAATATACATTTCGAACGTTTTTTTTTTTTCCTTCCTGTATACCGTGCGATTGACTGTATAGTTGACTTTAAAAAATGTTAATATGTTCGTTACCTGTACCTATACCGTTTATTACTGTTATTATTGTTATTCTTCTTAATTTTTTTTTTATTTTATTCCAGTGGCTTGGCAAGAACGATAATATCTATGCCGTAAAAAGTTATAACTAGAGATGTGGTAACTTATGAAGAATTTTAAGCGAAAATTAGGCATTTAATAATGTTGTAGGAAGTTTTTACAATACTTTTATGGTTTTCAAACATTCTGAAATGACCAAATTATTTAAAACAAACTCGCCTTTTTAATATGCATGGCTTAGTCTGTCAGTCAGCAAGTTTATTTTAAGCACATATTTAGTTTATTTGAAAGTACTATACAGCTAAGGAGGGGTGTGGCAGTAAATCTCTGATTTAATCCTTAAAATAAAAACACGCATAAAAANCAATTGGGATGTAAAAATAAAATTAGGGATAGAAGGCTTACTATTTCGTACTACAATAGATAAATGACAGATTTCTTAAACTTTTTGAATATCGATCTCGTATCACTAAAATTAAAAGCTGCACCCAATATGAATAATAATTCAGCCAAAAAATAATTGTCAATCTACGTTTCGAACGTTTTTTTTCTTCTTCTGTACACCGTGCGATTGACTGTATAGTTGACTTTAAAAATTTTTAATATGTTCGTTACCTGTACCTATACCGTTTATTAGTATTATTATTGTTATTATTTTATTTTATTCCAGTGACTTGGCAAGAACGATAGTATCTATGCCGTAAAAAGTTATAACTGGAGGTATGGTAACTTATGAAAAATTTAAAGCGAAAATTAAGCATATAATATTGTCGTAGGAAGTTTTAACAATACTTTTATGGTTTTCAAACATTCTGAAATTACCAAATTATTTAAAACAAACTCGCCTTTTTAATATGCATGGCTTAGTCTGTCAGTAAGCAAGTTTATTTTAAGCACATATTTAGTTTATTTGAAAGTACTATACAGATAAGGAGGGGTGTGTCAGTAAATCTCTGATTTAATCCTTAAAATAAAAACACGCATAAAATAAGGAGTTAAAAATTAAAAACTGAAATTAAAATGTGATGTTAGACGCATTTTTCCGTTTACTGTACAAGCGGCTTCTCCGTGCTAGAAGGTTGATCTGCAGAAAAACTAGGTGACTAGGGCTCGTAATATCTGTCATCAAGCATTTTTTCTTATATCAACTGTTGTAAGCTACGATTTTTTGTTACCATCTGGATTAAAAGAAACTTTTCAAATTGCGAACAGTCGCTTTGAAGTGAAAATCGCTCGATTGTGTTGGTGAAAACAGTTCGATTTTATTAGTATGAAAGAGTTATTTGACTTGGAATTAATCTTTTCAAACTATGTATGAGCTTTATTTTCGAAAACTATTTCCACTTTAAGATTCATTAAGGTATGTCAGAGGTATTCTTCGCTATTTATCTTTATGAATAACTTGCTTTTATTTTCTCTCTGAATTAATGAGTTGACGAGAGAGAATGTTACTATCTTGCAAAAAGATTATGAAGCCATTTTCGTCTTGTTTTCTTTTCTGCTTGAAACTAATCGGATTCGTGAATTCAAAGAGCAAATGCATACGGAGAATGAACAGACTATTTATTGCAATGATTTATATCGTTCTTGTAGACTCTTTAGTTATGTTAATTGCAACAACAATTAGACTTCAATCAGATGTAAGACTAAATAGTGCTTTTATCTTTGGTTTAATTTTACAATTCTGGACGTGGTATACATTGCGCAGTAAAAGCGGTGATATTACCCTACTTTTAAAAAATATACTGAATTTAAATAAAGCAAATACAGCAGAAAATCTAAAGTACAAAGTAAATAAAAATTTTCTATTAGTAATATTATTGCATGGTGCGTATCTCATAATTTTAAACATGCATTTGGATGACAAAACATTACATGAATATAATTTATATCATACGTACCATTTCCATATTCACAATGAAATTTTGGCAAACATATGTTTCCTTATCAAGTTTTATGCTTATTACTCTGTACAGATCCTTATTTTAAGTGTATCGCTGCTTCTTTACTTAGTATGCTGTTATGGTATTTCGTTATCTTTAACACA